GCTCGCGTTCAGAACGTTGAGTTTGTTAATCAAAAGTTCATTAAAATTTTACAAAATCTTATAAAATCTTGGAAATGTAGAATGCGAAATTCAAAATTTGGGCTTCCAGGTGCACAGGAGGACAATATTACTCAAAATTTAACAAAATTGTAGGTACCGTAGTTTTTTCACAATGCGAGAAACATACATACAGATTCGTCATCATTTGATTTATTTAAAGATAATACTGGGCAATAATATTCGGCGGCAGCAATTCAAAATGCCATAGAAATGCCGCCTCAAAATGCCACAAATATGACCAATACTCCATTCTGGCTACCGCCTTTTTAAGCTAAAAAGTAGTGTAAAGCTTTATGAACACTAGAAAATTTTGTCATGTTGTACAAAAAATTAAGATTTATATGTTTACTTATGGGGAGTAGTTGAAAGGTACAACGATAACAAATTCTAATAATGGCAACACTGCGCAAACTTCTTTTCCTGTCCAATCCAATTTACAAAGTTATTTTCAGTGCTTAAGTGAGTGCAATACGTGACAGTCTAGGCTTGGTGTTAAAAAGAAGTTGACTGGCTATGTATGATATGATCAGTTTTTATGCTCACATCACAGACATGAGATTAATTCAATCTTACCTATTAATGATTTACTGCTGGTAGAAAGGATAACATTTCTTTGATTTTGCTCATGTCGTTTACTTTAGATAAATGATACAGCCTTAAAGTTATTTTTAAATGCGTAAAAAAAGTGAAAGCACGCTTTTTACTTCCTTGTACGAAGTAAAAAGGAAGTATTGTAATTGCGAAAAGCTTCAGGCAGCATATTTCAACGAAAATATCCACTTTGACCGCTTTCGAATGCAATTTAACGATGGTTTTGCGTGATATCTGTGCGCAAGGACAGAATAAAAGACTCTTTTCCTCCAAAAAAAAACTAAAAAACTGCTTTAAAATGAATTCTGAAGAGAATTTTTCGTGGCGTCTGAACGAACGTATGTACGTACGTACGTACGTACGTATCTCGCATAACTCAAAAACGAGTAGCCTCAGAACGTTGAAATTTTGTATATAAGACTACTATAACATGTAGATGTGTACCTCGTATTTTTGGTTTCAATCGGCCGCACCAAACGTATATAAATACATTTTTATATATAATCCACTCTGTTACCCGCTCAGTGATCTCAGTTCTTTACTCTTATATGTTTGTAATTGTACATTTTTTGCTTTAAAATGATTGAATGATGTTTTTTTTATCTTCCGGTTAAGGGTTTTTATGCCTTTAAATCTGTATGCATATTTTTAGAATTATCACAATTTTAAAATTGTTTAAGTGCCGCTAAGTTTTAATTTGATGGCGGCCACTGCTCTTGTTTACATTTCAAACAGCTGAGTAGCGAATTTGTTGCCAATCTAGAGAAACTTAGCTTCGCAACAACAAAGATAACGCCTTCATTTATTATTTAAATCATGCTGAATCCTTTCTGGAATTTTTTCGAGGAAATAAGCGTTTAAGATTTACTGCGTAATTTTTAATAGAGATATTTTGATTTTTATGTATTTTTGCCTTTTTGCGAAGTGAAAACTGAATTAATTGAATGAGAAATACTCAACGTTTGTGAAAAACTGTTCCTTTTTTGTTTTGTTTGCTTAATTTTTTTTATACATAGTTCTAGCTTTATTATAGTATTTGAATAGAACATGTGGCAACGATTAGATAATTCTTTAAATGATATAAATTTTGTACATTTTGAGTTATAATATGAACGAAATATAATACTGTTAAGTGAACCTAGCGCCAGAGTGTCGCTATGGTAAACAAAGTGAATTTTAAAGAATGCATTTATTCTATTGTGGTTTATGCGCTGTCGGCGAAGTAGGTTTAATTCAATCTAATAAGTTTAAATGAAATGCAAGAAAAAATGAGTATAATTTAATATTCCGTACAAGGAAGTCATGTGGTGTACACATCAGATTTTTTTAAGAGTCGTTCAGAAATTGTTTTTGCTAAAAACCACTCAGAAATCTGGCTGTTGAAGTAAAATAACTGGTATTCCTTTATAAAAATTTTTTTTTGAAGGAAAGCTTTTTTTTTTTTTTTTTTTTTTTTTAATTTTTCTCTAACACTCAATTTAACAATCCGTTATTTTCAAAACTCATCATAAATATCTCAATGGATATTCCTCTTTCTAATATCAGATTGGGCGATATTGTATTGTCATGGCATACCTGAAAACAAGCCTCGTATTTAAACCACATCTTTTTTTTTTAAAGCCCAAAAGGGCGTTAGCCCAGAAGGGTTATTAATTTCAAAACGGCATTTTACGTCGATTCACTTTTCAAACTATTGCCACTAAATATTATCGCCATGTATTATATTTAAAGAAATTAAATAATGAAGAATCTGCATGAATGTATGCACGTTTCTCGCATTGTGAAAAAACGACGGTACCTAGAGCCATCAAATTTTGAATAACGTAGTCCTCCAACCGAACATGGGCACTTGGAAGCCCGAATTTTGAATTTGTTTTATTAGCCTATTTCAAGTTTTGTAAAACTTTAACAAATTTTTGATTAACAAACTCGACGATTTCAGAGCGAGCAATTGCAACACTGCAAAAAAAAAAAAAAAAAAAAAAAAATTTTACCTCCAACGCGCGAGACTGTGTACTGGAAATTCTAAAGATATATTATTTTGCTGTTTTTAAACATTTTGTAATATTGCTTTTGAATTGTATTTTATGTGTTTTAAGTGCGAAGAACGTGATATTTAATCAGTAAAGGTAACAAACAAAACGTTAAAAAAAATCCCTTTGGGCGTAGTATAAAATCTGAAAGCTTTCAATTTTTTTTAATACGTTAGTGCGCAAACTTTAAGCGACCTTTCTGATTTTAGCCCTAATTCCGCAAAAAATTAACTCAAAGACATGAAATTTATGCTATAGGATTGGATACAATGGAGTAGTTGAAGAAAGCGAAAAAAGTAGAGTAGGGGGGATGAATAGGGTTCATACAATACGGAACGAGTAGAAAAAGGGGTTTTATGGACAGAATGGCGTTGGTGCAAAATAACTGTCAAGCCAAGAGAGAGAACAACAAACCCTTTAGTAAGGGACATGACTCAAGAGCAACTGCAATAGATTAAGTAATTATTGTGTTAAAAAAAATCCCTTTGGGCGTAGTATAAAATCTGAAAGCTTTCAATTTTTTTTAATACGTTAGTGCGCAAACTTTAAGCGACCTTTCTGATTTTAGCCCTAATTCCGCAAAAAATTAACTCAAAGACATGAAATTTATGCTATAGGATTGGATACAATGGAGTAGTTGAAGAAAGCGAAAAAAGTAGAGTAGGGGGGATGAATAGGGTTCATACAATACGGAACGAGTAGAAAAAGGGGTTTTATGGACAGAATGGCGTTGGTGCAAAATAACTGTCAAGCCAAGAGAGAGAACAACAAACCCTTTAGTAAGGGACATGACTCAAGAGCAACTGCAATAGATTAAGTAATTATTGTGTTACATCGTCTGTCGGTTTAACACCAAATTATCTAACCAAACTCAGCACCAAATTATCTAACAGTATTTCTTTGAGTAACAGTTTCCATTCTTCAAGGAGCATCTGTTTCAGTTGTCTGGTGCTCCCCGGAGGTTAATATCGTGCCGCCAGGACAATCCCTAAAGTATCCCATACAAGTTCAATGGGATTTAAATCAGGGAAGCGCGCTGGGCAGTCCATTCTGTGAATATCTTCACTTTTCAGGATTTTCTCAGCAGCATGAATCTTATATGGCCGTGCATTGCCATTCATAAAAACAAAGCTGGAACCAATGGCACCTCGAAAACGATGAACGTGGACAAGGACAACTTCATCACAGTACAGTACACTAGGGAGATGGGCGCCCAGACCTCGCTTATTACCTATTAACTCACACGGTTAAAATGCTCCAACGTCTAGAGATGATCCAAAGAGGTATGACCCCCTGGTCAACCCAGGACGAGTTATAGGATAGTAATGATCTCCGGTATTTGAACCTCTGTCAAAAGTATATAGCTCTGTCTGTCCGGATAAAAAAAAAAAATTATCTCCAGCGCGCGAGACTCTATCGGAAATTCTAAGAATATGCTCTTTTTAAATATTTTGTGATATTGATGTTGAACTGAATTTTATGGTTGAAGTGCGAAGATGATATTTGATAAATAAAGGTAACACACAAAACGTTAAACAACGCCCCTTTGGACGTAATTTTAAAATCTGAAATCTTTCAGATTTTTCTTATTAATTCCTCTTTAAATATAATGAATTAATTAATGTATAATTTATCCTTTTCTCAGAGCGGCTGCACCGTTTTGAAAAAATTACTTTCGTTCCTTGTTTATATGACCATTGTTTCAACTTTGGATTCCTGGTGATTATTTTTATCACTTCATGCACAATTCATTTGAGGGCTATTCTATGCACAAATTATAACGGTGTTTAATGTTTAATAATTGTTTAAATAATTTTAAAGCATTAGTATCTTTATGCATATTTAAAAATTATTCTTTTATTTATTTTTTAATAATTTTTTTTCTATTCGTCATTCAATAATAATTTTTTAATTACAGTAAATCTGCAGGTGGATGTTTTTGTAGGCCGACCTAGATGCTCCATGAATAAAACATTTTTATTTCTTTAATGTTAACTCCACCAACATTAAAGATTTAAGAACAGAATATTCTATTACCATACTTTTGTTTCTATAAATAACTGCTTCGCTCAGAAGCTGAACATCTTATTCATAAATTATTTATAAATAATTATTTGTAGTATTATGAGCAGTAAAACTATTAAATTCAAATGCATATATTTATTTAAATCCGAAAAGGTCAAAGAGGTCGTTTTGTTTCTACGGTCAATCTTTTTTTTTTTCGGGAAACGTCTCTCTGTGATAGTGGGCGTTTGCAATGCTTTAACTCTGATTGGTAGAGAGGAGAGGGTGTGTGTCTCCCTCTATTTATTCGACTCAATTCTCGTTAACGTTCGGTGGATGTCGGTTGCTGCTTTGCTAGTTGCAAGATTTGGTGTCAAAGCGTGCTAAAACGAAGCGGAAACTAGTATGCTTAGTGATGTAATTCGCATATTTATCAAGGTTTTGGCTATGGCGTTCAAAACGTGGACGACTGAATACAAAATCCTTCCTTCACGCTATGGAATACTAGCTGGTGTAAATGTGCATCTATTTTGAGCCAACCTTACAGTAGGTATAAATCGTGCACGCCTTTGAATGCATATAGGAAGTAAGCTGTAACACTGTTTCTAAGCAGAGAGAATTAAAGATGTTCGTCGACTGGAGTATAGTGAATGCACATCCTTTGATGCGCCGAGAATCTTTGGTTGGCGCAGGTAATTGTCCATTTTATTTTATAAAGTTAGGATATTTATTTCATGCGAAAGTGTATATGTTCCGATCTGCGCAATTTTTAATATTTTGAACTTCAAAATAACTTATTATAACATTCGGTAAACTTAAATGTAGATTATTCGTATAGTAGCTCAGATATTAAATGCAAATTGCTTTTAATTAATCATAAATTTTAGGTAATCCATATTTATTTTAAGGTTTCAGTGTTTTGTTCTTATATAATAAGTAATTATATTGTTCAAATTGTGTATAGCTTTAATAGTCTGCTATATATATATATTTCATGCAGTGGTTGTTAGAATTCATGGTGTATTAAATGTTTCACCAGACGTATTTAGATAAAATTAGTGTATTGGGTTTTAGAATTTCTGAAAATGAACTGTGGGACATCATCTTTTTTGTATGCATTGAGGGATTTAAGATAACTGGATAAAACAGTACTTTATGGAATTTTTACCGCGAAAATGTATTTATTGTATTTGATTCGGCTTTGCATTTTTTGTAATGATTTGGAAATTAAAATGGTCGAATTTAAAATTGATGGTACTTAAGCTATAGAATAATTAGTTAATTGAACAATAAAATTATGCAAGTTTGCTAATCACATTTTAAATAACTTCCAAATAAATTTCTTTTTCCCTTTACTGTAAATTGATGAGGTTGATAGTTGTCCTTTGTATACGACTCTTGTGAATATGTATTGTAAACATTTTATCGTATAAACTTGTAGTGCTCTTATTTTCGTATGTAAGATAAGCATTATCATCTGAAGTCTTTTTAGGAGTCATATATTTGAACATATTGTAAATGCATCTTGCTATGAAAGAAGCAAAAGTGTAACATTATAATATTCTTCTAAATTATTGGTTGTTAACATTCTTTTACCTGTACAATCAATGCTTAGATGTATGAACCTTAATCTTTTTTTTTGAATCTATACCTGAGGTATTACTTAATGTGTTTGATTTAGAGTAAGATCTTTATCTACTGTGAGTAATAAAATATTTAATTTCTTAATATTATGTAATAAGTATAGTTTTATATATATATTAAAAAATGTCATACAAAAAAAATTCATTAAAGTTTTATGCACTATTTAAAACTGCTACACTTTTGTTCAAATTTTAGGATTTTACCTGTGTTTTTACCATATTCCATTTCAAAACAAGACTGAATGCTACTTAATTATTTCATTAAATTTGAAACCTGTGTATTATGTATGCTTTTTTTTAAAAATTATTCTGTCATGTAAATACAATCTAGCAGAAAGTATATCAAAAAATCAAAATCATTTTCATATAAATGACCAAATGGGTGAAAAGTTGGGCTTCATACTTCAAAAATAATCCATACACTTATCTAAATAACTCTAGATTATAATTTAGAAATTAGAATGAATATTCTAAATGAAATTCTTGTTAGTTTTATTACAAATATTTTTATGCTTTCATTGTCTATATGCTTAGAAACTTAGACTATGAACCTTTCAGAAACAAACATGAAACAAAGTTTGTTTTTGTATGAAGGCCATAAATTGTATGTTTCAGTTTTATGACTATAAAGGTACTGTTAATGTTTTTTTGAAATTTAATAATAGGCATTAACATTATGATTCTAAATTATTAAAAACAGCACCTTACCTTTTTTATTACAGTCAAATATATCATTCGTGTAATTAAAAAATTAAATTAGACCCTTAAATGTCTTATGGAAGATATGTTTCTAGAGAATCAGGACTGATTATTCTTTTTGGATATGATATAACTCGTTTTAGTTTCCCTAGAATTAATTCTGTGATCAAATGAGGGATATATTGTGATGAAACTGAGTGTCAAGAATAGAACTACATTCAGAAGTTTCTGAATGTGTAAATAGTGGTTAAAAATATCTTAGGTTAAGAAATGAGGTACACATTTATTACTCCTAATTCTACAACCCTTTTCTGAAGTTCACCAGAGATCAGAAGAATTTTAAATCAGGAACTTATGTAGGTCCTTTGTGCCTAAATTGCCTAGCTGCTATGTGATTTTTTTCCCCCTATGTGCCCTGTACATTTGGGGGGGGTAAGAGGGTTTACAGCAAGACTTCCCATTCTGGAAGTACTTCTAGAATATATTGCCAGGATTAAAAAAAAAAAAAAAAAATCACGTAAAATATCTGGCTTTAATTTTTTATGATTTAGAATTTATTTTAGTTATACACTTTTAAATTCATAAAGCAAAATATAGCATAAAATAAATAATACATATTTAGTAAAAACATTTCGTAAATGGCATTTAGTTCTTCCACTTTACTAGAGGTGGGTTTATGGGGTTGTCTGTCTATCACAAATACAGGAGACCACAGATTAATCTGTACATTTATAAGAAAGTAAAGTAAAACATAGTAAACATGTTAAGGTACCCCGAAAAGTTTGGGTGTGGTGGGTCACCTGCTTCATAAATTCTCCACTGCAGTTCAGAAGGATGACGAAACTGGTAAAAATTTCTGAACTGTTACAGTAATATAAAATTAAAAAGTGGTTGCAGTTAAATAAAACTGGAAAACTAATCAAAGCCAAGCTTGCTTTTGTTTAAAATTAGGTAGAATAGCAACCTTATATTTTTGTAGATTTTAAACAAAATTATGGATCTCTAGGGAAGTCAAACACAGGACCCTCATATTCTTCTAAAGAAGCGGATCGTGTTGAGATTTAAATATTAACAATTTTTTTTTGCTCTTGATGAAGAGAGACCTGTGTCTGATCATCTGCAAAGTTGATATTGTTCCAAATGTACACCAAAATGCGATTACTACCACTTTGCCGAATTTTGAGTTTTATACAGGCATGTTTTTCTTCCAGTTTGCTTTTGTTCGTAAAAGTATGTTATATAAGCTAATTATATTGTAAATTAAAAAAATAATACCTATATGGGGTAAAAGGCGTATAAATATATATAAAGCAGATATGTGCCCAATTCTAAAGATATGACAAACTTTTTATATTTGATAAAACACTGGTATGATTGATAAACCAGTGAGGTAATATTTATATGATAAAATAGTGAGTGATAGATTGAACATTTTATTGTTTGATTCAGTTTCATTTAAAGAAATATTTAACTGGCTGGAGAAGTATTGTTTATTGATGTGTAAAATAACTGATATTATTGGATATTTAATGGATCATTTATCAGTTATGATGATATGATTATATATTTACTGTATCATTATATCAATTAATATTTCTAATGTAATACATAAAAAGATGTATGTTAATGAAGAGTAGAAATATACTAAATCTACAATAGACAGTACTAGTTTTTATGATACTTTTTCCATAGAATATATTCTACTGTGGTAGTAGTGAAAAATTTTACATGCAACAGCCAAAAATGATTGCTCATTTTTGTTTAATATGATGATGTATTAAAAATAAATTCTTCAGTCATACAAATTGCTTCAGTTGAAATATTTTGATATATATTTTTTTACTTTGCTATTCTTCAAGTTTTGAAACATAGCTACCTTTTTAATAATTAGTTTCTTTATAGTTTAATTTATCTTTTCCTTTCTTTTTTCTTTTATGTCTTTCGGTGTTTTTATCTTATAAAAACAGTATTAAATATTTATGATTCCTAGTTAATCTTTTGCTCTTATTAATGGAATATGCAGTTGAAATTTTGTTTTTGTAATTTATTACTTTCACTCCTAGTTTCAAATCCTTCACTTTCCTTATTAAATGCAATGTTTGATGCTAGCAGGTTTTGTTACATATTTTTCTAATTTAATATTTGATTCATGCCTTATTTTATGCAGTAGGTAAAAATTTTATTTTATATTTTTTAAAACTTATCTGAAATAATTAAATGGTAAATTTGACATTTTCATGTGTAAAAATAAGATTTATTCTAAAATTCTTTGTCGAGAAAACTGCATCTTGACTGTTTATCACGTTGACATGTGTAAAGAAGGTATCCTTGTGGCATATGAAAGTGGAAACCTTGTGCCATAGATGTAGATTAGGTAATTTAACTGTACGCAGAGAAATTTTGATTTTTGTTGAAACTAATCTTGGATGTTTCGCAATTTAAAATAATAATAAATCTGGAATCAACATCAAGTAGTGTATATTAAATATCAGAAATAATTCAAGTATTTTGGATGTGTAAATCCAGAGCACAGTATAGCTCCAAATATCCAAATTGAGACCATAGCCCATTCAGATGCTAAAACAATCAGTATAATTATGTTGTCTCAGCCTTCTCTGTCAACAAATAAATATTTAAAAATCATGCAAACCACAGAATTTAATATTTAGTTTCTACATTGCTTATATTATTCTGCGTTTTTTTTTTCCCTATTCCTTAACTTTTACTGGATATTTCTTATAGCTTTTTCACTCTTGAATCTGCATTATTGTGTCTGGTATAGAATGACATTTATTTTATTTTATTTTTTTTTTGATTTTATCCACCAAGTTAAAGGTAATAAAAATTACATACATCAAGTTAAGATATTATCCTTTTCACAACCTAAAAAGTCAGTCTTAGCTGTCAACAATTAATGTCACTGGGATAATAAACATTTTATTTTATACCCTTTTTCTCCTTGATTGGTGTAGAGGTAGTGCTGTTTGTTGGCTGTTATATCGCTGAGCGTGGATTCGAGTATCGAAGGCTTGGATGTATGCAAGTGCCAAGTGTATGTGCTGCATGGAGTGCATACAATTCATGGCGAATCATAAATATTCTCAAGTGATTTAGTGGGAGGAAAGAGGGGAAGATCCTTTAATAAATCTCCTGAATTGGAACGCAACATGCCATTTCTCGTGGTTGTAAAATCGATCCGCCCTGTAGTGCATCATGGGTCAACATTCATGTGATTCTTGTTGGATGTTTTCGACAAATTAAAACTGTTGCCAAACAGTTCGATTTAGCGCCAATAATGGATAAGCGTGATGTGATAACATGCCGTGGTTTTATATAACATTGATTAACAC